TCATCGTTACTGTCGTGTCGCACTTGGATGAAAACTGGCCAATACTATAACTTATTAGCCTTCCTGCAGCACATTGCCCAGTGCCTAGCTGCTGGACTGGTACAAAACTTCGCCATCAAAGGTTACAGCAATTTCGAGCCTGATACAATACAGTTGAGCAGGAGCAGGTTCGCTCGAGATTTACTAAGTTACTCTCATCATATGCAAGCGCAGAAATATCCCATGCTAGTACGTTACGATGACTCAACTAATGAGGCATCCTTATGGGAACATCAAACTTTTTGCTGATCCATGGACTTATTCTAATTCTACTCCACGATATAGTGTATTAGTAATAACGTGTGAGGAAGACATAATGACAACACTTGTAGAGTCTAACGAATATGTATCATCATCAACACAACAAGCAGGATAACTAGGATGGGCTGGTTTCACAGGGAATCGCGAGAAAATTGGCGGAAACTCCATGTCCAAGGTCGATAGCCGCCTCTTATTGTCCGGGATCCATTCCTTGTGGGCTGGAACTTATAGTAGCTTTACCTCCGATGTGGGTGGTACTCGCCACCCTTCATATTCCATACCATATATCACTTCCTGGAACAAATATGCATGGACGCACATAGACATACGATGAGGACTGCAAGTCGAAGTGGTCACTTGAAATGAAATATGTATTGGAGGGTGGAAGCTTCGACAATGATTACGAATCCTGCTTCTGTATCTGCTGTGGACCTCATTAAACAAAGATACCGGAATCTTGAGGTTTGCCGTGCTTGAGAAGATCGACGGTTCAAATCTATTTAGTGATGGTGCATTCTTGCAGTTTTTTTGACTCTACCTTCAACTCTTTCGCTTTCGTTTATCTACCACTTCAGAACACTTTATCTCAGCTGCCTTATAGAACTGTAAATTAGTGTTTTTGTATAAATGTAGTCATTTTAGAAGAATCAGTAGCGCATTTTCTGAGTTCTTTTGTCCTGAAAGGGTATGAAGGGAGGGGAGGGAGGCAATTTCCTAGTCTGCTTGCTGGTTACGTGCCAACTTACGCGTCTCACCTAATGAGAGCTGCAACCTCTACCCAGTGTGCGTTTATGAAGCTGATGGTAATCTCGTTCGCCGAGAAGGGGTGTCACTGTAGCTTTGTATGATAACGCCGCTTCTGGATTTCAAACGGAATAGTTTCAGTTGTGGTAATTGTAACCGTAAAGGGCTTGGCTGGAGGGTCCACCGGATTATGTTGGAATGTTTCGAAGTTCACCTTATTGTACACTATTCTCTACGGCGCTCTGCATACTGTTCGAAGAAACCGACACATCTGAAGCTCTTTGCAAAAGTAAATACTCCCGCCATGTGGATCATCCTGCAGATTTTCAAGTCGTCAGCATATACCATTTTGTGACCCTTTTTCGTGGAGCATGTCTGGGAGCTCAGCCGAAAATATTGAAATGAGCTGGTGATAGAACCCCGTCTTCCTCTACTCCAACTTTTACACAGCTAACATGCGAACACCCTCTCCCTGTCGCTCTCTACGATCGATCCGAAAAACCTATGAGGGGGAAGTTCAGGATTAGAAAGGAAACATGAAATACTTAGTGACGAACCGTGGCAGTTGAAGGACTTCACGAGCCTCTTCTTTGAGGGAACTCAATGCACCTTGGGCCACCTACCAGACGCGGCTATTTTACCTCTGTTGCGAGCCCCGCATTTCTCTCTGAACTGGAACTCGTGCTTGCGTCCGCGATTCTCCGTGTCTATACATTTGATAACGCCTGACAAGCAAACGGCGACTATCTACGCGGCAGTGATCCGGTGGTTTGTTGTGGAAGGACAAGCCTCTCCAAGCGTGGATGTGCTCCCCAGGCTTCACCATGTGGTGTACCCAAAGGCTTCATCATGGTATACTCGTGGCGAAATCAATAGTGTTCAGGATTTCGCTGATCTTCCTTTTAACATCCTGCCGCTCATTGGAAGGAGGTATATTAGGGAAGATTCGGGATTTTTGGAGATCACTAGGCTATTTCCTCCCTGACTACAGTGCACTACACTGCTTCTTCAAGGAGTCCAAGCGCAGTAATAAATGGAGGCAAACTTTTCTTCAGACAAGCTCAGGTGAGAACTGAAGTAGTAGTGACGGCAAAATCACTTTTTGCCACGTTTGCGCAACAAGCAAAAAAGTTAAGCTCAGCAGGGATCCGATCCCATGACCTGTTGCGTGGTAAACGCGGCTCCATAACTCCGTTCAGAGAATCGCTTTGCAAATTTTGAAGGCAGATTCAAGATCAGCGTCCAAAACCACGTCTAGTGATCTACATCTCATCACAAATGGCCACTTCGACCTGACGACCTTCCCTAGTTAGCTGAGGAGTGACAATAAGACAAACATCAGAGCATCAGGGTATGCCAGGCAAAAGCACAGCGGCTGCTCACGGTTCGTGCAACCGGAAGGAAAGCACTGTGTAAATATTGTTGTTCTCAGTCTCCTTGGCCTTCTTGGTATCGAATTCGAAGCTTATTAAGCTAGCACGTCACAGATCTATTTTATAACCTTTATTTAGGCGTCTTTACAACACGACATCGCAATCGAGCTGCGAAGCTGTCGAGGTCCAGAATGTCTTCCACAGTCTCCAATCTTGAGGAGAAGCAGTCAAAGACAAGTGCCCATAGCAGTCCCGGACTATGGTCCTGCAATGTTGTGGAATGCGACTGAACTTGAAATAGGCTTGCCGGGAGAGGTATCAAAATAAGCCATTGGCGCCAAATTGCATCACCTCCGCAATGGCGCCATGCGCATGGGCTTCACGGCAGGATTGTTTGGAAGGTGTAACTTCTAGATAGGGCTTCCCAATTGCAAGCAAATGTGCTCTTGCAATCAGAAAAGTCCGGGAATGTACTTTCCTCTGTTTATTCATCGTCAGTCGTAAGTCTTTCCATTGTATAAATTCATCGGTGTCCGTTTGTGGCTGATCGTGCGCTCTATCATCATCGCCCTTCCTCGACGTAATTGTCAGTAATGCTAGCAACAGCGCAGGGCTGCTAGCGTGCTTGAGACGTACATAAGTCTTCTAGCACGTCCTCTCCCCCCCCCCCACGTCGAAAGCAGATATTTTTTTTTGGTTAAAAAAAACAGAAATTTTTCGGGAAAAATAAACGTGTAGGAGGTTGGAAAATCAAAAAAATAAACGTGTAAGGAAGTTGGAAATCAGGGAAGAGCAAACAAGGGGAGTGGGCGTACTTGATAGATGGAATTAGGGGGGTCGTATTTTTTTTAAATAATATTTTTCAGGAAATGATCACAACGCAATGGCGTGCCCTGGTCTCGGTACCGATCCTCTTGCGGTGGGAGGTGTGTGCGAACTACAAAAGTGCAAGAAAAGACCAGAGGAAGAGAGTTCATGGAGTTGTTCGGAAAAAAATAATATACGCGTTGGGATGGGTGGAGGTTGGGAGGCGAGCCAGTTCCTATGTGTTCTATCTTAATCACCTGCCATGATGTAGATTGGTCCCAATCAATTGAAATGTTCGCGATCTAAATGAAATAAAGTCCGATTCAAGACCCAAAATGGGTATTTTGCTGTGGTCAACCTGAAATTCTATTGACTCCTCGAGGGGTGGTCTCGGTCTGATTTGAATCTGATATAAAATATTTAGCTTGCGATGAGAATATTCAATGGTGACACTTTTAGAAGAGGATGTTTGCCCAAATGAATGTCATCATGATACGTGATTTATGTTCGTAGACGCTTACTTTGATTGTGGCCCGCCTGCTATCGAGGCAATGGCCTTTTATCTACAGCCGTAGTGTGCAGTTCTTCCGTCAAAGGCGATTATTCCGCAATCTCATTAGAATAAGAGGCTTGAAACTATCGAGAATTCGCACCTTCGTACGATATAATATATTGTAGTATAAAGCATGAGTCACTTCCCAGGATTTCTTTGTGCGACAGCAACGGCGAGTTCATCGTCGAAGAGGCAACGAAAAGACCGGAGAGAATATCCTTACAGTTCAAAAGCGATTGCTCTATTACCTGATTGTGGTAGAAGTTTCATTTCGACGTTTATTCTCTCCTATTCTCTCCGATTTGGTCATAGATTGTGAAAACTAGTTCTCCTTGTTGTCACAATTTGGTTCGAGCGTGTCACTGTGAACCCAACAGAGCTGATCAATAACGTTATACCTGCCTGACCTTACCCCCGCCCCTGAACTTTGAGATGCAGGCCACCTCTATGAGTCTTTCACTAGTTGGCCACGCCAACATTTCCTACTCATCGCTTTTATATCGACGTCTCAGTTGTTGATACACAGATATTTGAGTGGTTGAATAAGGTTTGATGCTAACTTTTATTAGACGGAGGTGAGGTAGCCAGCCTCAAATAGCCGGGTTACCACGCGCGTAGTTGGGGTCCAAATCCACGATTAGTTCGTACATAGAGATAGTTCATGGCGTATATAGAGACAAGTTTTGACACCCTAGGACGGTAAGCTGGTGACAGACTATTCTGGAGAGTAAAAAACTGACTTACACATCACATCGGCTCGCCCCCTAGGTCACGTATAGATCGTGTCGCATATTATTTCACCAGACGAATCTGTTACCAATTCATTGACCATAGGGGAGGAGGTGTACGTTTGACTGGCTCGGACGGGAGCCAGTCTTCAATTTGGCCCTTGACCGCGTGCACTAAACCGGCTATTAGTCATTCTATCACCTCAGCCAAGGGTAAAGGGTGCAGACTGGTTTGGTGGGTACATTTTTTTGGTTCCCATAGTCATTGCCAATGCCTCCTGTGGAGACCTGTATGTTCCTGTAAAGCTACGCAACAGCAGGAGATTCGTTTACACTTGACAAGAGTCTACAGGCCTCAAAAAGGTGAGACGTGTATTTTGAGTAACTAGCGCAAAGAACTAGCGAAAGTGCAAAATGCCCCTTCTAAACAGAACAGCGTCTAAAAAATGATGCCTTTGGATCATCATTGCTTTTTTCGGATTGGTTGAAGTAGTTATGTTAGGAAAGTTATTTGTAGGTCGTGGTTTGTCCAACTGGGATGTTATTCGAAGTCAGCCAGGTCGGATCGGCGATAATTCACCGCTTACTCAAAGCTGCGATCACTACGATCATTACAAGGAGGATGTGCAATTAATCAAGAACCTTAAGGTGATTTATTTGTTTACAAGTTGCTTCTATTTGCATTTTCTAAGACGTAGGCCTTGCATATACGTAACTGTACACAGTCTCATTACAATATCATGTTCTCCCTTCTTCAAATATTACTACACGGACTATTGACCAGTGAAAACTGGTTCGTAGTTGCAAATAATCCTTTTTACGAAAGAATGCAAAAATGGCATAATATTTCACAGCACACAAAATTCGGTAGACAATGTTGACGAGCACTTAGGCACAGCAATTCCTTCTTCCCTCTTCCTTCCTGTACTCCTCTCGTATTTATTCTCAGAAGCTATAGTCGGGCATTATACGATGTATTACAGTATATATTTCTACTCGGAAACGGGGTGCTCAGCAACCTGGAGTAGCGGAGTTTGACTCTCCAACCAGCTGCTGAAAATTGCTGATCTTTGAAGTTGAGTCGTTTATCCACGACGAAGCCTACCCTATCCTTAGAACCCTTGGTCTATTAGTAGTTAAGGTATGACACATTTCGGGAGCCGATTATGCAAAGTGGATTCGAGCTCTATGAGTCAAAAAATTTGATGTACACAAAAATATATCAGTGTTGTAACGTTCCACAACAGCTCAACAAATAGAAAAAAATTAAACGAAAAAAATTTTAAACGAGCAGGTATCCCACTCATAGTGTATTTTCCAGGTGACCCATTACAGACTGTCAATTTGTTGGACTCGAATTCTTCCAACAGGGCTAATCGACAATGTAAATGAAAAAGGAGTCAAATTTTACCGTAACTTGCTAGAGGAGCTCACAAGCAATGGAATCTCTCCAATAGTTAGTTTATATTATTTTTTGCACGCATATTATTAGTATTCAGAACCGTACTATTATATTATTCATCAGGTAGCGAAGAAAAACCTCGATATAAGATAAGTATTGCCATTTTCAAAGGTGTCAGCTTACTAATTACCAACTGCTGCATCACATGATGAGCGCTAAGGAACTGTTCACCGACCCCGTGTATCTGTGCAGAACACTTCTTTCTTTTTCCACGTTTTTTTCCCGAATTTTTTTTGAAAGACCTGCGCTCCTTTCACACGTGCCGTTATTAGTGATCTCTTGCCATCGTCCAGAGTTTATCAAATTTTGAAAACATTTACCGTTTACTGGAAACCTGTAGTGCGTAGCGCTTAGAAACGTTTCGTTCGGAACAGTGTGGACATGAGAATGGAAGCTTTCGGAGATATACTGAAGCAATTTCCACACAGCGACTTGTTGCGCCCTCACTGGTGATTATCCCTGAGCTGTTTCATTCCACCGGAGATTGAAAGTTGAGCGTTGGATTTGCTTCTGATTCCATTGCTACTGAAAAGGAATGGAATTGCTCACCCACTGAGCTTCCAAGTCATACCCAAGTCATAGTGGTCGCAGTCGTAAGAAGTGTGAAGAAGCTAAGCACTGACTGACTCTTATCGGCCGCTATCGGTGGTCGAATCGTTTTGCGTCACCTATCGTGTTCCCGTCCAACACCCTTTATCAGTTGTTAAAACCTACGTTCCCACTGTTGCTGTGGCGCGCGTTATGGATTTGCTGACCCTACTCCAATAAGGGCCGGTCATCGGCTCTTATCAGTTGTTGCCACTTCTTCGTACCCATCAATAATGTTTCTGGCACACCCCTATATCACTTATCAGTTTGAACCCTCTACGGCAAAATTCACATGGAGTAACGACGAATTTAATTTCCGGTCAAACACACGCGCACACACACGCAGACGAACTAGCACCTAACAATGGTGTAATAGTATGGATGGAGGTAGTGCAGAGGCAAGTTTGCCGCTCACCACGATCGCTGGGGATTCCCCAACAGGAGGGGGAGAGGTCGTATTTGATCAATGAGGAGGGGCGTCGTATGTAAACTGTGAATTTTTTTCAAATGCGGATCGGTTCTCGCCCGAGCAGCCGAGCTTTCTATTCCATCGGGATAGTTGATTAATAAGAAGGCCCATCTGGGAAGAAAAAACATTGGCTTTGTACACCCGGTGGCCCTGCAAGTCATTACATATCAATCTCGCATGCAAAATACACTGTGATCCCAAATGGAAACGAGCGTGTCGCTTTCCAGAGAAGGCTTCCCAGCGACGAAAGCTCCAGCTTTCAAGATCTTTTGACGCAGTAAGTTTAGCATGTGGTGCCGACTGTTCCGGTACAACGGGACAGCCGGCAGCACGGTGCTAAACGTTACTGTACTTCAGAGCATGCGGTGACGTGGTGAGCGTTCACGAATTAGCCTTTTTCCCTTATGTAACGAGCGGTCAAACTCATCTAAGCGATCATTTCGCTGGCCTTCTACTTCCTCTATCGCGCTCCGCAGTCCACCATATTGCGTGATGTTCAGCGTTCTTCCCCACTCATCCAACCCTATTTCTTGGAATAGGTTTTTCAAACTTACTTAAAGGCAGCGCCCGTTCATTTGATGTTCCTACGCCCTCCTTAGATATCGTAGCTTTGTCGACAAGGGTGGAGGATGTACTAATTTCGCAGCTCAAAAATACGAGAGGATGGCGCCACCCGCTTGTGAAGAGGATGCCGCCCCGCCCCACTGCCATAACTGCTTTGGCTTAGCCTTTAAAGGCTGAGCCCGCTTTCAAGAATAATGAGTTATGGAGCTCATATAATACGTGATCCAGTAGTGAAGAAAAGCAGAAAAAAAATCATGGAAAATGCCCTATATAGAACCCTATGCTGGCCAGGTGGGCGGGGCGGCCGACTCTTCACTAGCGAACGGCGCTATCCTCTCGCCTTTTTGAGATGCAAAACTAGTACATACTGCATCCTCATAGGGAGGGCTATGATATCCAGAGAGGGCGCGGGAACATCAAATGAACGTGGGCGCTGCCTTTAATCTGAAAAAACAAGTTTCAACTACCAATTCAGAAAAAACCGACAAAAGTGTCAAGGAACGCGCTAGTTTCACTCGTTCTACATTTTTTCACAACTGTAGTTCGGGGGTGCCAGGCGGCAGCGCAGCTACGCCACATTCAGAACGTGTCTGTCTTGGGCAGTCGGCGAAGCAACTTCCATGTTATGATTGTCTAGTCTGCCTTGTATTAGGTTCGTGAATATAAATACTTTCAGCATCGAACGCATTAGCAGAGCATTTCCTAGCTACAGTCCTCATCATTACGGACTGTCGGGGCGGCACAGACGAGCTGCACTGTGACGCGACAGCGGCTGCGCTCGGTGACGGTGAATCAAATTTCCTACTACTAGTTTCCTACTAGCAAATTCCTACTTTTTCAGCTCTTCAAGCTTCTAAAGTGGAAGGTGAGTTATTCTGAACAATTTTGAATTGTACTGGCTCTGATTTCCTTTATTTTTATGTCGATTATATGCTCTTTTCCTTGTATTTTGCCTTATTTCAGGTTATTCAAATGGCTTGCATTCTTTCAGATTCATTCAGAGTCAGTACAATTTAAAATTGCTCAAAATAACTCACCTTCCACTTTCGAAGCTCGAAGAGTTGAAAAAGTGGGAATTCGCAGCCGAATTCCATGGAAATCAGCTGATTCGCCGTCACCGAGCCGCAGCCGCTGTCGCGTCATTTGCAGCGCGGCTGTGCCGCCCCGACAGTCCGCAATGATGAGGACCGTGGAATACGTTTGAAAAGTAGACCCAGAGTTGAGAGCTGCATCGTCCTTGTGGAAATGCTGCGGAAATCAACCGGCTGCAACGCCCCTTTCAACGTGCTCGCTTGCAAGTAACTATATAGACGGGAACTGACAGGTCACGTAATTTTATGGCTTCAAAACGGGTGTATCCGCCAATTTAAAGTTCCGAAACGTGGCATAGATGTACGGAGATTTAACATAAAACAGCTGACTGCCTTTTCACACCCCCACTCCAACTTTTCCCCACTATTTTTTCCGAACAACATTCATGGCGTCAATTTCAGGTCACTCTTTTTCATGCAGACTATCCATACTCTCTCTACGAGCAAGGCGGTTGGTTAAACGGCGACAGCATAATTTGGTATCAGGATTTCTGCCGTCTTTGTTTTGAACGCTTCGGAGATTTGGTGAGCTCTTATCAAAAACGAAACTTTAGATGTTGGAAGGAAGCTAGCTGTCACTCTTGCAAAAAAATTACTCATGTAGGCTAAGGTCTTCTGTAGAAGGTGCAGTACACAGAAATTATTTTCAAAAATTTTACTTGCTAATTGGCTTCACTCAACACAATGCCCAAAGCCGGAGAGGGCGAAACAAATACCTGAGTGCATTGACATGTACGTGATTTTTGGGGAAAAACCTCTTAGGGGAATCCACTTATTAACGTGGAATTCCTCACATGTACCTTAAAGAAGCGACCAGCGATGACATATGAAAATGCAAGAGGTATGTGGGAAGGTAGTGCGGTCCGGAGTGGACAACCCTGTGCCAGTTTCGCGGCGGAAAGTTGTACGGTAAAGGAATTAAGGCGCAAAGTTGCTTCAGTGATACATTCGTTGGTACATTCCTTTTTGCAGTGACTCCGTCTCCAGACTCCGCCTCCAAAGTCGGCCTTCCAGGCCAAAAGTAATGCTCTCGGCAAGCATCATGGAGTGGACGCATTCAGTATCTCTTGTAGAGTCATAAGTTTCATTACTGGGAATCAGCGACAGGGATCGTCCCAGCGCGCGGTCCTCTTGCGGTTTTTTTACCCCTACAGTTGTTTGAGGCTAGAAGAGGCCTGACGAATGCGTTTCCAACGTTCCCTTTGGCATTATCTCTTCATAAGCGGTTCACATGGCGAATTTTCTCCCACGTTTCTGCAACATCACCTAGGCATTCTATCGCCGACCGTGCCTTAACTCATTCAGTATGAAATTGAACAGCTGAGTTCGAGACTACATCTCACAATTGTTGAAATTTGGCGTCAGGAAACCTTTCTCCAACAACCCCATTGTCGTTTCTGGGGAGAATGGGCCCGCAGCTGCAGTAGCGTGCCACTTTCTCTGGTAAGGAGTGCACGGCAACCCAGATGAAGGGCGGTGATACCCGGGTTCCCCCTGCAATTTCCGCCCGCACTGTAGTACGCCTAACCATAGACAAATGCGCAGTTTCTATGCGCTATCTCACTTCTAGATGTTGTCTACTGAGAGTATGTTTCACTACTGGACCTTGGTATCGACGTAAGCGGTGCACCTTGAAAATGGCAAGCCGAGTATGGGCAGGGCACTCGGGTACTACTGCTCTACAGGCCCGTTCTCTTGCACTCCCTTCCTATCCACATCAGAATGGCATGCTAGTGCAGCTGCTGGCCGATTCTCCCTGCGCATGGTAAGAATTGTTCTTGGAGATGAGAGCGTTTTTGCAAACTGCCCTCTGAGCAGAATTTGAACTCTCGTATGGGCATGCAACGAGAGGAAGAATGTTTCAGGTGAAATACTGGATTTCGTTCAATGAAATATACGCACATGCGTGGTGGGGAGTCGCGAAAATCGAGGGACAACTGCATCACTCTCCTGACACTGTTGAGTATTCGATACCAACAAGAAAAATTCCCTACGTAGCAGCTCATAATATGCTGCTTGCACATGCTAATGTCTACAGAATGTACGTACGAGAGTTCAAGGAAACTCAACAAGGTAGGTATTTGATTTGAGTCAACTAATTGTGGGTTGGTTGAACAAAGAGGAGTCTCACCGACGGTGATTTTACAGGTCAACTGGGAATCACTGTCGGTGGCAGGTGGTATAAGACGTTCTCCAAGGATCCGAAGGACATTGATGCTGTACGTCGTGCTCTCGACTGGACTTTTAACTGGACAGTGGCACCGATTTTCGGAAACACTGGCGATTATCCAGAATCTATGAAGAAGGATATGCACGTAATAGAGGAAAACATTGGCTTTGAGCTGCTTCCTAGATTCACGAAAGAAGAACGGGCAAAGTTGAAAGGTGCGCTTCCGTTGAGGGGACTAGTGAGGACTGTATATTTCGGAGACTCATAAATCGTAGTCCTTTCTTCATTACCACAGTTAGTTGCACCTTCTGGCAGCATTCCAGGTAGCCTGACTGATGCTGACTGCGGTGGAAATAAGCCATCAAGGGGTAAATGTCGGATGGTGCGCTGCGACCGTAATTTCCATCCCTACCGGGTCTCCGCAACAGTATTCTGACCACGGCGACTCGTCCACATCAGCCAATCTCTTAGTATGATGTTGCACTACTTTAGCAGGACACCAACGCGGACACCACTATGTTCATACTGGAACGCAGTTGAGCAAAATATGTATATCAACTGTAGTTCCCGAGAAAGGGACAACTCATGATACTTAGAGGCTTCCTGTGAGTAAGATATAATACAACAAATTCCATGATGGAACCATTTCTACGTAGCTAAGCAGCACTGGAATAGGAGGGGATTGAGGGAGGAAGATGACAAAGAGTAGCTCAAAAACTGATTAGAAGAGCCGTCTGTGCAGTCGGGCGGCTAAGCCGGCTCCTGCCAAAGTAGAGCGATCATAGTGTCAACCAAAAGATTTGCTGATGTGGACGAGCTGCCCGTACTAGAATACGATATGCGGAGGCTTGATAAATGTAGCAGCTATGGCCGCGGAGCATCGTTCGACCGTCCGGTGGACGGTTCTGAACAAGAAAGCGTGCAAGTAACTGCCCTGTTTTGACTACTTTGAATAATGGCCATTTAAATGCACGATGTACGATTACCCAAGATTACCTGTTCTCCACATGAACTGCTCATATCCACAGTAGACTAGCCATAAGCCAGGCCAAGGCCCTAGTGCATAGGTGCCGACCTCGAGAATCCCAAGTTAGTCTTGCAAGTCTTGCACAACAGCGCTATTCAAACTTGATTGGCAGCAGCCACTGCGCGGAAATATGCGACACCTTCACCGGGGTACGTCGCTCCATGTCACGATGAGTATGAGTTTCATTATAACTCATTCTCGGTTTATTTATTCTGTGAATACGCTTTGATGAAATTGCCTTGCATGGCTCTCCTTCTCCCCGCCACCCTCCTCCCAAGCAACTTCTCCGCCATTTTATTTACAGATCAGCGCCTAACCTCACATGGGTGTTGGGAATGAACCTCATTTCTGTCAACTCGCCCTTACCCGTTCCTTTAAGGTTCCGCTGATTTTCTTGGCATAAACTACTACATAAGCGAAGAAGGTATGTGATGGAGAAGGACCGTCTCAGTTGGAGAAAGACGCTCATTACAATTACTTGGAAGGTTCATGGGAGAAGTGAGTTCAAAAGAAAATATTTCCTCTCCAAAGTTCGAGCCAACATAGTTTTTTGCATGGACCTTATTCACTGTTTGCATGTTAAGCATGACGCTTTGAAGGATATCCGGCGATGGGATGTGGCTCCGCTTTGCACCTGAAGGGCTGACGGAGCTTCTCGAATACATCAAAAACACTTATAATACTCCTGTTCTCATAACAGAAAGCGGATGTGCCGACATATTGGGAGAAAAGGTCACAGTTCTCCTCAATTTTTGTGCAACAACTTCCTTGACGTTGTTCCTTTTCAGAGTGAAGGCGTCGATCCTCTCAACGACGAACATAGAATTCGTTATATTAAGGGACACATCGAGGCAGTCAGGGAAGGTAAGTCACCTTTATGCTACAGCGAACGCTCGATTACTTCCTAAGCTTGCGGAACCATTGACTTCCCTTTACTAACCCCGATGTTATTGAAGATATGAACGACCTTCGCATGTGGTGATTCATTTCGCTCTCGGACGCAGGGCACGTCCTGCCGCTCAAGAGAAATGTCCGAAAATACGACCCCCCCTGGTTCCTTCCTCTGACACGACCCCCTTACCCCCATCCTACCTTCCACTTTCCCCCGATTTTCCGAACTTCCTACCACTTCCTCCATTTTCCGGAATTTCCAGAAACTTTCTAGTTTTCCATAAAATTCTGCTGTCGAATGGGGGAGGAGCTGTCGTTAGCAACCAGTTACTAGTAGTTTCAACTACGACAGCCATCTCAACGCGAGCAAATATAGCCTCTCCTTCCTCTTACACTGTTCCTAAAACAAGAAAAATCAACTATCAAAAAAATTTTCTCAGACCACCCCCCCTCCCCGCTGGGTATGCCGTACGACGCGGTTTTCTCGGACGTCGCCCACATGGCGATGATCTTACCAATTCCCCGGCGCTATACCGCTGATATCGTCTCGATCCGGCTTGAGGCTATCAAGTCAAGCAGGACCGACACGCCAGCAGTGAGCTAGCAAAGTTCGTAGGTAGCTGGGATGGACAGGAGTGCTGGTTGGTGATTTGTCTGTTAAGAAGCAAGGGGAGGGAACGCTCGAAAAGTAAGGCATCGCTTGTATTGAGTGAGAGATAACGAATCGATGTGAATATCGGGCGAGAAGGCCAAACAAAGCAGCGAGAATTCATGGAAACGAGCAAGGCAACAGACAACATCTGTCAATGCGGGTGGAGTACTTGAGCGACTTGTGCTTTACTTCCAGTACCTTACCAGTTTCTGACGTGAGGCTTATACAGGGCTCTTCGTTCTAGTCCACACAACCTCTCCCTACAAAGAGGCTCTGCCTTATACTGAGCCCACCCGCGGCGCTTTTAGCACTGACTGTTTCCTATATGAACTGTACGCTACCTCAGGGCAACCACTCGCCGGCTTCCCCTAAGACCGCCCCCTCGGACCGTGACGATACCAAATATACGTGTGTCTTCTCTCTTCATCATCTTTTTTCACTAATCAGTAATAGTAATACTCAATGACTTTATTGATTGAGAATATAGGTTTTCTTATTCTTAAAAAGTCAGCCTTTCAACTCTGGAACAAGGAAAGGAATCGCCTAGAAAATCAATCAAAGCGATTCGCCTCCTCGTGACTGCGTGGCCAAGTATACTATTTTCACATTAAATTCACCCTTTTTCAAACCAAATTCGTCCTTTTTCAAACCAAATTCACCCCTTTTCAAACCAAATTCACCCTCACTTTTCATCAACTTAACCACACTTATTAGGGCGGGCAACTCATCAACCAGATCACGCCAGACATCACTGCGAGCCCCGCCCCGACGGCCACGCCCACTTGTCAGCGCGGACATAGATTCTCAAATCTTGTTTCATAACTTCTGCTTTTGCTGTTTCCCACAAACACTTTGACTGGAAACCACCGTGCATTCACACATGGCCGACTCCGCCCATTCTCTAAAGGGTTTGGCACTCTAGGCTGACCACGCTTTTCGCGGAATTTCGATGTTTTTTCAAAATTTTTGCATTTTAGGGTTGCTGCGTGAAGCCCCGCCCACTGTGAGATGCTCCGCCCACTTTGAATAAGCCCCGCCCACTTTTCAAAAATGGTGCAGATCGGCAGTATAGAGACTTGGCTTGCATGTTAGGGTCTCGTACGTCACTCGGAACAAGAAAATCCGGCAAAGTTTATTCCGAATGATCAGCAATACCCTAGCATGCAAGCCAAGCTCTATACTGCCGATTTGCACCATTTTTGAAAAGTGGGCGGGGCTTCACGCAGCAACCCTAAAATGCAAAAATTTTGAAAAAACATCGAAATTCCGCGAAAAGGCGTGGTCAGCCTAGAGTGCCAAACCCTTTAGAGAATGGGCGGAGTCGGCCATGTGTGAATGCACGGTGGTTTCCAGTCAAAGTGTTTGTGGGAAACAGCAAAAGCAGAAGTTATGAAACAAGATTTGAGAATCTATGTCCGCGCTGACAAGTGGGCGTGGCCGTCGGGGCGGGGCTCGCAGTGATGTCTGGCGTGATCTGGTTGATGAGTTGCCCGCCCTAATAAGTGTGGTTAACTTGATGAAAAGTGAGGGTGAATTTGGTTTGAAAAGGGGTGAATTTGGTTTGAAAAAGGACGAATTTGGTTTGAAAAAGGACGAATTTGGTTTGAAAAAGGACGAATTTGGTTTGAAAAAGGGCGAATTTAAAGTGAAAATGGTATATATGGAGCGGTGTGCGGCCACCAGGAGACGAATCGTCTTACTCCATGCGTAGCACGCGGGTCCGCATTGGATGAGTAAATGGAATTCTCAAGTTTTCGAAGGAAGTTTCCAATGATGGCATCACTGAATTAAGCCGAACACCTACAGTCTTGTGTGGTGCAGATGCTGGGGCGTGTCAAAGTAAGCTGGAATTGGTGCGGTGGCAACCCGTTCTCCACCCAACTATTGAAGCGAGCAATCGGCAACAACGAAGGAAAGCGGGCTATCGTCGCACCAAATCCAGCCCCAATGATACAACCAAGAAGCGCATTAGGTCTACGGACAACTTGAACTCAATCCCTTTGAACGCGTCGATCTTCTGTTTTTCTCTGCACTCTCTCGTCCGCATGGCACTCTGTGGTTGTTGTGACTTCGCACATTCCAGCTTTTCACGATTATAAGTGGTTCACCCACCCCGAAGTCCCCTCCCCTTGAAAAAGCTCGTTCTCTTGCTTGCCATCTGTTCCTTGTACGTTGGATGCTTTGGCAGGCGCTGTCCTCATGGAGAGCAGCTGAGAAGGTCAGAGTTTGAATGGTCAACGGCAAGAGAGCTGAGACTTATTTTTTCCGAGGATGCGACGTTTTGTTCTCCAAAGAAGGGCTCGCTCTACCGTGAGTTCACCGCGTGGCTTCGAACTCCATTCGAACGTAACGCAGCCCTTTTGTGGCGGGGCACATCATCGCGGGGTGAAAAATTGCTTCGAAGTAAGAACTTCTCCAGATTGACTCACTCGGTCACTTTGATAACTTTTCCCGTTCCCTGTGCGCTGAAT